CCTAAATCCCACGTGACCTAACTTTACCGCTTAGTCTACCATGAGGAACCTTGTCGAAGGCTTTACTAAAGTCATACTAAACAACGTCTACTGCTCTGCCCTCATCAATCTTTTTGGTAACTTACTCAAAAAAACTCAGTCAAGTTTGTGAGACATAATTTTCCTTGCACAAAACAATGCTGACTATCCCTAATCAATTTTTGCATCTCTAAATATCCATAAAACCTATCTTTTCTAATCACCTCCAACAATTTGCCCACAACCAAAGTCAGGCTCACAGGTCTATAGTTCCCCTGTTTCTCCTGACAACCTTTCTCAAACAAAGGTACCATATTAGCCACCCTCCAATCATCAGGCACCTCACCTGCTGTTATAGGTGATGCAGATATTTCTGCAAGGGTCTCACAATTTCCTCCATTATATCCCACAACGTTCTGGGATACATTAGATCTAGTCCTGGAGATTTATCCACCTTCATATTTTCTAAGACCTCCCGAATTTCCTCTTCTGTAATGTATACTGTTTCTAAAGCACCAAAATGTATTTGTCTGCATTCTCTAGGCTCCATTTCTTTCTCCACAGTAAAAAACGCAAAATGCTCATTTAGTATCTCTCCCATCTCCTGGGGTTCAACGCAGAGATGACCTCCTTGATCTTTAAGGGGCACAACCCTAGTAGTTACCCTGTTGTTCTGAATATATCTGTAGAATCTCTTCAGATTATCCTTAACCTTATCTGCCAATGCTATCTCATAACCCCTCTTTGCCTTCCTAATTTCTTTCTTAAGAATGCTCCTACACGCTTTGTATTGATAAGATTCAATTGAACCAAGTTGTTCAATAAGATACTCTTTTATCTTTGACTAGAATCCTAATATCTTCATTCATTGCTCGTTATCTTACCAGCTTTACCTTTCACTCTAACAGGAACATAATGCCTCGGAACTCTCATCATCACACTCTTGAAAGCCTCCCACTTGTTAGTCGTCCCTTTATCAGCAAACAGTCTACACCAATCAACTTTTGAAAGTTCTTGTCTCATAGCATTAAAATTTGCTTTACTCCAATTAAAAACTATTAACTGTTTTGGAAGGCTTATCCTTTTCCATAACCATTCTGAAACTAATAGAATTATGATTGCTGGACACAAAATGTTCCCACACTCTTACTTCAGTCACCTTTCCCTGCCTTATTGCCCAAAAGAAGGTCTAGTTTTGCTCCTTCTCTAGTAGTAGCATCCACATATTGATAAAGAAAACTTACTTGAACACATTTAACAAATTCTTCACCATCAAAACCTTTAACACTATGGGACCCCCAGTCAATGTTTGGAAAATTAAAATTCCCCATTATTACAACTTTATTATGCTTCCATATATCTGAGATCTCCCTATATATTTGTTTCTCAAATTCACTCTGACTACTGTGAGCCTACAGTACAATTCCATCAAGGTGATCTTTCTTATTTCTAATTTCTGCCCATATATTTTCACTGGACGAATTTTCAGAAATATTTTCTCTAGGAACAGCAGTAATATATTCCTTAATCAAAAACACCATGCCCCCTCTTTTCTTGCCTCCTTTTCTATCCTTCCTATAGCATCTAAAACCCAGAACACTGAGCTGCCAGTCTCGTCCATCTCTCAACCAGATTTCTGTAATAGCTATGATGTCCCACTCCCATGTTCTTAAAAATGCACTGAGTTCATCAGTCTTACCTGTAACACTCCTTAATTGAAATAAATGCAATTTAGTTCTTCAGAGTTACTACATTCTCTCTCTCTTGTCTTTCTTTTCTAATTGACGTGCTCTCTTCATATTCAGTACCTTCCCCATCAATCTTTCTATTTATACTGCTACTTAGAATTCCTCCTCTCCCCCTCTCTATCAGCATAAAGTCTCCCTTAATGGAACAAGCAAATTTTCCTGCTAAGATATTGGTCCCTTTCCAGTTCAGGTTAGACCCATCCTTTTTTTAACTAGGTCTTTTCTATCCCAAAAGACATTCCAGTTGTCCAAAAATCCAAATCCCTGAACAATACACTACCTCTTACATTCTCATCTAGCTTTGCATCATCTACAAATCTAAATACTTCATTGTTGGTATTTCTGTACACAGATTTAACCTAGATTATAAATATCTGTGGAATCAGCACTGGACATTACAGTATTTCACTATAAACTTGTTCCAATGTGTTTTCTGACAACTAACCGATCCCTTATTCACTTTAAAATATTACAACTGCGTGAGCTCTATTTTGCATATTACTGCACATGAACTTACTAAATACATTTTGAAAATCCAAGTATAGTGAACAAAATAACATCCACAGGTTCTTCTTTACCTCGGGTACATCCTCAAAAAACATGAATTTTCTTAAACATGGTTTCCCTTTGGTAAAGCCATGCCTCTGTCCGCTCATACCACAACTTTCTAAGTGTATTGTTAAATCCTCCTTGACAAATGATTCATACAATTTTCTGCAACAGATATCAGGCCAACCAGTTGTCATTCCATGTTTTATATTTCCCTCCTTTCTTGATTAATGGTGTTAAAATTTGCTAACTTCAAATTCGATGGGACTATTCTAGAATCTAAAAAATTTTGTATCTTATAACCGGTGATTCCATTATTTATAACTTTAGAACGTATATCATCAGTTCTTCAGAATTTGTTGGATTTTAGTCTCATGTATTTCCAATACTTTTTCCTCTTTTGTTATTAAGCAGCCCAATTTGTTCACCCTGACTAGCTCTTTGGTTACCCTGTTTCCACTATGTGATTGTGCCTTCTACTATGAAGACGGACAAAATATTCGCTCAATTTCTCTGCCATTTTTTCATTCCCTGTGATAATTTTCACTATTACTGTTATCATTTGCTTCAGCTACTCTACTTTTTGTAATAATTGCAAAAGCTCTTCCAACTTTTTTTCTATATTCCTATACTCATATTCTATTGTTTCCCTTTCACCAACTTTTTGGTCACCTTTACTTGTGTTAAAACAATTTCCATCTTACAGGTTGCAACTATTCTTTGGAACATTTTAAGCCTCTTCTTTCAATCTTGTGTGATTCTTAACTTGCCTATTAATCCACGGATGCTAACTTTTTTTTTGATTGGATAATTTTCTTGGAAATTTTGAGTTGCTTCTTGAAATATTTCCCTCCATTTATTATTTACTGACACAGAATCGTCACCATAGTATCAGCAAGAGGTGCCAGCATGGTATCCATGATGTCCCAGGCTTGACATCACTTAGGGTATCAGTAGCGTATTGCTATTAGAACAGTACATCTTCTGCTGTAAGTGATACTAAGTCTTCTTGGACATTAATCCAGTAAGTTTACTGTATATCTGCCACTAGTTACAGAGAAAACACTGTTACTTTGGAACTGATGCCCGATGTGAAAACAAATTGCCAGTGATAGCACTCTCATGTTTGAGTCCCAAGATATGATAATTAAGTCAAATGCAATTCTAAGCATTTGCAAATTTAATCAATGCTGATACTTGCAGTGCAGTGCTAAGCTAATACTGCACTGTCAGATGTTGTATCTTTCTGATGAGATATTAAACTGAATAGACAACTGGCTTTTTGGGTGCAAAAGATCCTGTGGCACCACAAAGTACTTAATGAAAACAGACTAACCAGTTGTTACCACATTCCTTAACTAATGATTGATACCAATGATAACTTTAGCAGTGAACTAATAAATCCTCCTGGCTTCATGCACAATCAACTATCCCAGATAGGTAAATAATTGTTAAGTAGTAACAAAACTCACATTACTTTAACCTTGGGTCAACAGAGGATGTAACAGATACCAGTGACATAATGTGGGTGTTAATAGGAACTGCAAGTGTGCATCCAATCTTACTGCAAGTGAACAAGATGGAACCAATTTTAAGTTGGCACTCAGACCTAACACTAATGCTACAGCTTAATGCTCACTGCAGACACAATGTGGTTTCATTTCTAAAAGAACGTTTTAAGATCTCTTTGGTTAATGGTTGTTTTATGATAAATTGTTACAGCCTCATTTTCTGGCAGTTCATTAAGATGCCTGTTGTTCTGCCTTCCTTTATTGTGAAACAATGCAAACTGTTCTCTGAATCAGATCAAGGGTAGTAAACAGTGACTAATGCTGCATCAAAACCTACTCTCTGCTGTTTTACTTAGAATAGAATCCCTACCGTGTGGAAACAGGCCCTTCAGCCCAACAAGTCCATACCGACCCTCACAGGGTCCCACCCAGACCCAGCCCCCTGTAACCCACAGAACCTACACATCCCTGAACACTATGGGCAATTTAGCATGGCCAATCCACCTAGCCTGCACATCTTTGGACTGTGGGAGGAAGCCAGAGCACCTGGAGGAAACCCATGCAGACACAGGGAGAATGTGCAAACTCCACACAGACAGTTGCCCAAGGGTGGAATCAAACCCAGGTCCTTAGCGCTGTGAGGCAGCAGTACTAACCACTGAGACAACGTACCGCCCCTTGATGGTAACGGTATTAAAACAGAGGAGAGAGGAATTTTGAATTGTATTCATTTGGAACAAATCTTTTGTCCTGTTTTGCTACTGGAATCCCCAACATTGGCATCTAACCTCTTCCCGTGGTAATGCTATACCTAAAGGGTGTATGCTCAAAGCACAATTTCAATAAACACAGACAAGCACTTCAAAACAATCCAGATCACAACAGTATAATCCACATATAGTAATATTCAAAATGCTAGCCAATTAAAAGTTCAAATAATGCATGCGATTGTTTAATAGTCCAGACTCCATGTTTAAAATCATGCTGATATCAATGTTTAAAGAGTGAGACTGATAATGAAACTATGAAATGCATTACAACATGAACATTTGACAACAACATCACTTCTATTAAATGTCTTGGTTCCATCAGAGAGACAGAATAAGAAGAAAATAATCTTTTGTTGCTTGGGTTAAGTTCTCATTAGTTTGTATTAGTATTTAAAAGAAACTTACTGTTCTATTCGTAACTTCTACATCTGTGTAACAAACATGCTGCTACTGAGTTCATCTATTGATAAAATGGGCATCTACAGTGGAAAAGATTTCAGATTAAAATGTGACTTATAAAGAAAAACTTATCCTGTATATTATAGCTCACATCCTAGCACTGACATTACACAAACAGTGTTTGCAGTGAATGAATTAACTGACAATTTTACAAAGGAAAAGAGGTAATGTCACTAACATTATGCATAGCTACATCCAGATTGTAACACACACCGATGTGGTGACTGAAGAATATTTGTTTTAAAACAATTTTCCTCGACTTAAATTTAGCAAACAGAAAGACTTTGTAATCTGTGCTGATGTTAAAGCAACAGCTCACTTGGAACAAGAAGTAAAAGCTATTTAAAGAGCCAAACCTGATTGGCTGTTGCTGTTGCTGCGAAGGGAGCGTTGGTAGCAGGTGTTGTTGCGGACACAGTGGTGGGCGTAGCGCCGTGCATCATGGGTACTTTCAGTAGGGGACACCATGGAAGTGACAAACAGGAAGGGTGTAGCGTTATGGTAACCATGGCAGCGTGTGGAGTGGATTGCGGGCGTGGCAGGTATCACAGCAACAAGCCATGTGACATCATCATGAAGGGTGACACCAGCATGCAATCATAGTGCAATAAGCAAGACAGCATTGAAAGAAATAAAAAAACAAAAAGAGAAAAAAAGGAGAAAGCTTATTACAATCATAATTAAGGAGAACTTAAAACACTCTAAAAGACTGTACATTATCGAGCACATAATGATGCATTTGTGTAATTATATAAAATAAAACACAGACTTTGAAGCAATGCATTTAACAGATACTCTGAGCAAAGTTCTGTCTGAAATTATTCAAAAAGCATGAACAATTAAATTTTGCAATTCCCTGTTAAAATTTATTCACTGTAAACACAACGTAACTAACTAATGGGCATATATAGATAAAACCGGGTTGAATCCAAGTAAGAAAGGCAGGTAATATTCTAGAGTTAATTGCATTTTTGTGAAATGGAAGATCACAGAATATTTACTCTGTCACTTATTTACATACGCTCAAAATGAAAAACATTCGCCCATGCATCCACTCAAGATCACACACGGCCAAAAAAAAACACACAATCTTAATATCACACATGCCAAATTAGAACCACATACTTAAAAACACTAAAAGTCAGACATTCAAAAAAATCACAAACTCAAAATCACACTTATAGACACTAAATCTTATGCTCAGAATCATCCATAGAGGACTGAATTCTCTCTCATGGCTGTTTGGGGGAGTTCGGTTAGAGGGAGTGGGGCGGGACAGAAGTTGGAGATCTTCCTAGTCCCGCATCTGGCCCTGAGAGGAAACAATCTCTGGGATTTTGACCAAGGTATTCCCCTTAACTGGCAAGGAGATGGGTTCCCAGGCTAATTAAGGGCAGCAAGCTGGCTTTCAAAGTTGACAGAGCCACCAGGGGACTTTCAGTTTGAGAGGAGCAGCCTGCTGCACTGAAGGGCAAGTCATTTAGAGGTTCCTTCAACACGGACTCTCCAATCTCAAAACATTTTAAATTCTTAAATGAAAATTGGAAAAAACAACCAGACTTCCATAACGGGTGGTTAAGTGGGAGTTAGCTTGAGAGGAGAAACTCTGTCTGTGGTCTATGTTTACACCCAAGACAAGCTGTTGCCTGTTTTTAGCCTCGGAAAACCGAACAGATTCTGTTGGCACTCATTCATGCATTCCAAAGCACCAATTTCAGTCCCTGTAATGATCTCAAATTGAATGTAGATGCCATTTTAGTGGTGAGTATAATCCTCGGCTGTAGCCTGTCAAATGTGGCAGGTTATTTAGGTGCCCCATCAGCAGCCATCAGCCACTCAGACTGCCAGCAGTGCCACTGGGAGTAGTGGCCACTGCTATGTCTGCACCTGGAGGAGGACAGAGCAATGGACATCCTCCCTCAGAACAAGTTTGGAGAGGGGGGGGGGGGGTGGAGTGGGGAGTTGAGAGTTGCCTGGTACAAAAAAGGAGCTCTTCGACAAACCCTTGTCCCCAGAAAGCCAACTGAGAACAGTCAGGGCTTACTGTACAGTTTCACCATGGGCAAGCGGATCCCGATGCTGCTGGCTAAATGCTAGTGGAGGTGAGACGATGTCCTCAATTGACCATTTCATTGGGGTCTTGTTGGCAAGGCTCTTGGACACCTTCCCTATCTGTGGCAGGAAGGAGATCAGCATGCTGACCCTCCTTAATTTACCAGGTGACTGGTAAAACCCAGCTTTCACAACCAATCATAAGGCAGAATCTTTACCCCATATGAGGGAAAGAACCAGACATGGGATAGCACAGAAAATCATGCTGCTGACCAGCATGGCAGTTTGCCATCACTGCCTGCTACTATCCCTCTTCCCTAGAGACAGGACCTATGGCAGAATGGCTGCCTGCCAGTAGGCAGAGGAATTTCAGAGTCATACAGCATTGAAACAGGCCCCTCAGTCCACCATATCTATGCTGACTAACAAACACCAAACCACACTAATTCCATTTACTTCGTCCAAAGACTACTTTACCCTAGCATTTTATGTTCTCATCCAGATATGTCTTAAATTTTGCAAGAGCACCTGCCTTCACCACCCCCTCAGGCAGCACGCTCCATATTTCTAAAACCCTCTGGGTGAACTTTTTTCCTCAGATCGCCTCTAAATCACTTACAAGGTATCAGTTGAGAGGGGATCATCATTACTAAAGCTCAATTATCAGTGGCTGAATGGATTCTTACTGTCAGTCTAGTCTGTAGGTCCCCTCCAACACTGAAAACAGTTTATTTGCTTTTTGACCTTTCTCTCCTGTTGTCACCTGTGTTGGGACTTCCCCTCAACAATGTCACTGTTGATTCCATTTTTGAATTTAAAAATGTTAAAAAAGTTAAAAAAGCCTTTGAATCTCCATCTTACATGAATGGAAGCTTACTGTTCCTTAGCCTCTCATAGAATCATACAGCACGGAAACAGACCCTTCGGTCCAACTTGTCCATGCCAACCATAATTCCAAATTAATCTAGTCCCATTTGCCAACATTTGGCCCATATTCCTCTAAACCCTTTTTATCCATGTTCCCATCCAGATGCCTTTTAAATGTTGTAATTGTACCAGCCTCCACCACTTCCTCTGGCAGCTCATTCCGTACACGCACCACCCTCTGCTTGAAAAGTGACATCTCAGGTCCTTTTCAAATCTTTCACCTTAAACCTATGCCCTCGAGTCTTATAACTCAAACCCTCCAGTCCCGGAAACAACCTTGTAAATTGCTTTGCACCTTTTCCCAGTTTGGCAACACCCTTCCTACAGCAGGGTGATCAGAATGTGAACGAACCAAGGTCCAGTACAGCTGCAACATGACATCCCTACTCCATGCTCTGACTGACGAGGGCGAGCCTTCTTCACTACACTGTCTACCTGCGACTTCACCTCGAGGGGATCTAAGAATCTGCACCCCTCACCCCACTCCAGGTCTCTTTGTTCAACAATGCTCCCCATTCAGTGCACGAGTCCTGCCCATCTGGATTCTTTAAAATTCTTTCATGGGATGTGGGTATCACTAGCTGGGCCAGCATTTGGTGCCTGTCCCCAGTTACCCTCGAGAAGGTGTTGCTGAGCAATGTCTGCAACCATTGCAGTCCATCTGGTATAGTTACACCCACAGTGCTGTTCGGGAGGTAGTTCCAGGAATTTGATTCTGAAGGAATGATACTGAAGTAATGGTGACGTAGTTACAATTCAAGGTGTGGCTCAGAAAAGGAACTTGCAGGTGGTAGTGCTCCCAAGCATCTGCTGTCATTGTCCTTCTAGGTGGTGAAGATTACAGGGTTGGAAGCGCTGTTGAAGGAACCTTGATATGTTGTTGCAGTGTATCTTGTAGACGATAACAACCGCTGCCACTGTGCATTTGTGGTGGAGGGAATGTATCTTGAAGGTCGTGGATCCGACATTGACAAATCATTATCCTTCATGATCGAGTTTAAGTGCTTTTGAGAATGCATTCTTCTAGGCAAGCAGAGAAAATTCCATCACACTTCTAACGTGCGCTTGTAGATTGTGGACATGAATTGAAAGGAACAGGAGGTGAGATGCTTCCCTCAAAATTCTTAACCTTTGACCTGCAAATGCAGCTGCAGTATTTATATGGCTGGTTTAGTTCAATTTATAGTTAATGGTCACTCCCAGGTATTGAGATGGGGGAGCCAGTGATAATAATGCCATTGAATGGCAAAGGGGGATTGACAGACTCTCTCTTGTTGGAGATGGTCATTGTCTAGCACTTAACTGGCAAATAACATTTGCAAAACACATCAGCCTACACCTGAGTGTTGTCCAAGTTTCGTACATATGAACATAGACTGCTTCAGTATCTGAGAAGTTGCAAATTGTGAACATTGAACATTGTGTAATTATCATCAAACATTTAAATCCCGATCTTATGATGGACAGAACCAGTTAAATATGGTTGCCCCTTGGGCACAACAACCTCTGCACAGACACCCTAGGGCAATTAATGTTCTACAGCCACAAACATCTTCCTTTGTGCTAGGTATGACTCCAACCAGAGCAGAGTTGTCCCCGGTTCCCATGGACTTCATTTTGTTCCAGAACTCCCTGATGCCATAATTGATCAAACACTAATTTGATGTCAAAGGCAGTCACTCCTGCCTCACCTCTGGAATTCAGCTCTTTTGCAAGTATTCAGACAAGGAGGTCAGGAGCAAAGTGGCCCCAACAGAACACAATACACCACTGGGCAGATTATGATGAATAAGTGTCCCTTGATGGCACTGTTGACAACACGAAAACAGACCCTTCGGTCCAACTAGTCCATGCCGAACACAATCCCAAACTAAACTAGTCCCTTTTGCCTGCTCCTGGCCCATATCCTTCCAAACCTTTCCTACTCGTGTACTTATCGAAGTGTCTTTCAAACGTTGTTTACTGTGCCCACATCCACTACTTCCTCAGGAAGTTCATTCCAAACACAAATCACCCTCTGTGTAAAAAAAAAATTGCCCCCATGTCTCTTTTAAATCTTTCTATGGGCTCCTTTCATCACTTTTCTGATGATTGAGAAGAGGCCAACAGAATGATAATTGGCCAGGTTTAATTTGTCCTACTTTTTATGGACTGGACACAACTGGCAGTTTTCAAGTTGTCAGGTAGATGTCAATGTTGCAGCTGCACTGGAACAGCTTTGCCCTCCAGCTGAGACAGCCTTCCCACCATCCTTAAATAGATTTCGAGCATATATTCTGGCTATTAGACTGGTCAATTCTCAACCTCCATTTAATGTGAAATCAGGACACCAGTTTGAAGCCTAAAATCTTGCCATAAAATCATATACATTGTAAGGGATCTCAAAGCTGATGGCAAAGAGAGCTGTCCATAAAGATCTTGCAACTTCAGTGGTGTGGATTTCTCCTTTCCTAAGGGCATTTGATCTGGTTCTGAATTCAGAGAATCTCTACGCCTTGCAGAACAATGACATCATCAGACGTGGTAAGCAGCCAATCACCTTGAAGTATTCTCACTGATAGCATCCCAGGAAGTCAGAAACCATGACTGTTCTCTAAAGATTTCGATATCATTCTACAGACAGAGAAATAAAGTTTGGGACATGCCGTGGAATTCAGAAAGAAGTTGAGATACCAAACTTATTTAAAAAGGAATGTGTTTCATTCTAATGAAGAAATTTGTCATTCCACACAAACAAACCTGTTTATTTTTTGGGCCATTGAGGCTCTTCAACAGTAACTATGGACTTTGGACATAGTTAAAATCACAGTTGCACATCATTTAACATGGTGTAACTTTTTGAAGGGTATTTACAGCAAGTCTAATGAAGTCAAAGGGAAAGTTCTCATCAGTTCAGTGATTTCTGGCTGCTTCAAGCAGATCTGAGAATTTCCAAAAGCTTGCACCATGCAGAAAAATTAAACCAGTGACTAACTCCTGCTTTACTGTGTTTGATTGCATTATGCACTCCGAAAGCTGCTGTCAGTTTATAATGAGTACTAATGGTGAACACTGACAATACCTCTGTGAGACCTAGCGCCAATCTGTGTATGGTCACATACCTGTAAAATGTTTTGGGGTACTTTACTATGTTAATGCAAGGTGCTGAACAAAATAAATGATTTTGTACTTCCTGGGATCCCATTCCTTGCATCACCATCAAACCGCACCTCCCTAATGATTCCAACTTACAGACGAAAACAATTTAATGTGTATCTCAAATTCTATCACATGCCAAATATCTACAATACTCTGACGTGAACTTCCTGACCAAGACAAATCTCTCTCTGCCTGTCAAGGCATTTTGATTATCCACGTGGCACATTTGCCCTCTGGAAGTAGTCATCCCACAGCCCAAACAATAGCACATTTTGGTTAGGAAGAGACAGAGTTACACAGTCAAACAAGTAATTGAACAGAACCTACTGGGTGGGAAACGCATGGATTTGGTGGGATGGGAGGGAGTGGGTGATGAACACTAGTTCTACAAGGTGCCAATAATACTTGAATGAAGATTCAGATTGAACATTACATCTCACTGAAATACCAGTATTGCAGCCGGTCATGTTATTTAGCTAGCAGGCAGCTTAAGTTACAACTGCTGCCTTAGTAATGCTGAACACATGGATACTTCTCAAATACAACTTTGAATATTTCTTCTTAATATGTTAGTGGATTCTAATGTCCAATTCAATTACTCAGATAAGAAAGGGAATGTGGTGACACAGCAATGTAGCAGCTATATGGACTCACATCTTTGGCTAATGGTCAAAATAGTAAGCTCTTAGGTATAGTCTCTGTTTGGTCTAAAATAGAGCCACTTGATTCTTGGTTGACCAAAGGGTTGCACTTATTTGCACTGTTTAATTTCATATTATGGAGTGAGAACAGTATGCACAGTCTTGACCTGCACTTGTCTCCCTTCCTCCACTCATTGAAGAAATACCCTGGACACTCAGATTTAAAAAAGTCCTCTGACATTGTTGTTCAAAGAACATTCTTCATTCAGATAATAAACACAAACACCAGACACCTTGGTACTCTTTTTATCCTCTTGCTATTTTTCGTCCTTAGTTTGTTTCCAACTTCCATGTCATCTCTTCACTCTCTTCCTACAGGTCATATTTCCCTACTACTTTTCCATTGATAACTCCCACAACCAAAAATGATCAAACGGAACTTTTCCCCCCAATTTGAAGCAAGATTGAGTCAATTTGTGGGGCAGACTCAGGTGGCTTTTGAACAGCATTTTTCAAACTTGCAACCTCGGTTACCTAGAAAAACAAGGGCAGCAGGCATCAGGGAACACCAACGTTTGCAAGTTCCCTCAAAATCATACAACTATCCTGAATTGAAATGTACCAACATTCCTTCATCTCCACTACATCAAAATCCTGGATTCCCTTTCTATCTAACAGCACTGTGCAAGAACCCTAACTGCACAGATTATAATAGGTCAACAATAAAGGCCCACAAAGACTTAAGGAAATCTAGGCTTGGAAAGTACTCTATCCCAAGAAAAAAATTTTTAAAATCACATTAGCTGGAACACCTGCAAAGAACTGCACAACCTCATCCTTTGAACAAATGCCTTCTCTTTACTTCTTTAGGCTGTTGCTTCCCTGAGGTTTTCATTTACAGAACTACCGTAAAAATTTACTCCACTTAATGTGGCTTATGTGCGGAATTTTCCCTTGCACTGCTACGAAAAGTTTGTTCTTTCTTCAGGCAGGAAAGCGGGTTAAATCTGGTGCTGCTACCTAAGGTTGAAGTATCATTTTAAAACTTCAACATGTACTAAATATACAGACACAAGTTACTAATAATGGTTTAGCAGCAAAGATGATGGAGTAGCAGAATACACCTACTGCTCAAACTGTAATTGGGAACTAAATCACCCTTACTGGAGGATAGTCATAAAAAGATAATGGGAAATAGCAAAGTAGCATATTACAGACCAAACTGACAGTGAGTCTTTGGTTTAGTGGTAACATTCCCACATCCAAGTCAGAAGGTGAAAGATTCAAGTATGTCCCGAAAACTCTATTAAAGGACTATCAATGGATTAAGGTCATTCTCCTTCCATTGCAAAAGAAGATGAGGGTCTTTAAAGCCTATCTATGACAAGATGTGAGGAAGGCAACAGCAAATCACTTCAGTTCCGTTTCCCTAGTTAGTGGTTCAAGAATCTCGTGACTGACAATTGAGTTATGACCTCCCCAAGGGACAAAATACAATCGATGAACAGATCCAAAACTGTGCTGCACAGTGTTCTCTCCATTAAGTGCTCACTTGAGGCACTGCTGTATTGCTTTATATATAAATGCCCACAAGCAAAAATTAGATAGGAGGAGCAAGAACTGCATATGCAAGATATGAACTGTTAGTTTGCCCACAGTTATGAAGTTGTAAACTCACACAAGAGATTTGACAAAAACAGAACTCAGAAGTGTTCCTTTGTCATGCCTGTCGGTGACAGGTGTTAGGAATGTTAGACAGATTACATTAAGTATTTGCTAAACATTTGCTTAATAGTTTCACTCCTGTTATAAGAAGTTCTGGTTCTACCTCATTTCGTATGTGACGTCTAGCTCTGGCTACCACACAATGAAGTTGATAATGGCTGAGTGCAGCACAGATTCACCAGACTAATAACACAAAAACTATAGATATCTTGTGCGAGGACATGATTCCTGAAATCATACCTGAATTGTCCAACTTTATTTTTCAGATTATGCACCCACCTCTATGTCCTTCTCCAACCAAAAGAAACAGGTTTCACCTGTCAAATCCTTCAGCCACATTAAACACCTCGATCATATCACCTTTTCATCTTATATACTCATGGGAATAAAAGCCTAACCTCTACAACTGGTCTTCCTAATTTAACCATTGTAGCCCTCTTTTTTTTTCTTTCATAGGATGAGAGCTTCGCTGGCTAGGCAGCATTTATTCCCCATTCCTAATTGCCCAGAAGGCAGTTAAGAGTCAATCACATTGCTGTGGGTTTGGAGTCACATGTAGGCCAGGCTGGGTAAGGATGGCAGTTTCCTTCCCTAAAGAACATTAGTGAACCAGATGGGATTTTTCAACAATCGCCAATGGATTCATGGTCATCATTAGATTCTTAATTCTAGATTTGTTTTATTGAATTCAAATTCAATAATGAGGGATTCAAACCTGGGTCTACAGAACATTATCTAGGTCTCTGGATTAACAGTCCAGTGATATTACCACTAGGTCATCACTCCCTGCTTAAATATAGTTAATTCTAAATCATCCTTGATCATTCAAACTTCAACTTCCTTCCTGGTCAAGTTGTTAAGCTATGTTTACTGAAGTTGTTGTGTGAATCTGCACACTACACAGGCTACATTTGTAAGGTGGGCTGCAGCTGGATCATGTCTCCAATTCTCCCACCAGTGCTGGTCATGAACAAGATTCCACGCTGGAAATTTGTCATCGCAAAACTCTAAAGGTGGGATTTGACACACGTGACAGGTTCTCACCTACCAGTTGGAGAGGTGGTGAAAACCCATTTGTGTCTCCTTTGGGACGCACTGTAGTAAATGCCTCTCAGGCCATTGGTTGGCATTTCCCAGAAGTAGGGATCCCAGTGGCAGCAATTCCATCCCTGAGAGCTGCTACCCATTGGAAGGGTGATAGCCGTCCATTACGGCAGCACCAACGGGAATGGTGGCAGCTACCAGAAATTCACACAAGGAGAGGCCTAGGTTTCCCAAAGGACCTAGACTACAGGTGAGTGAAGGTGAGATGGGGGTCACAATTTCGTCAGCATGGAACCACCAACAGCAGAAAAGACAGGTTTGCTTTGGGCAAACACAACCACCACCTCAAATAAATCTTTCCCAATGCTGGGTCCCTTCATCAAGCACTGAGTGCCTTTGAATATAAGCATTCATTGTCCTCTTAATGGTTTCAATTGGCAGTGTAACAGGAAGGCTGGCCAGGGGCCTTATGGTCCCCATCTAGCACCTTCTTAACCCCTTTTCCAAATTCATCTTAGAGGAGAACATCAAGTTCCAATCCAGGGCTCTAGGTGTAACCAAAGCAGAATCTGTCGAATACACTGGCAGCTGCAGTAACTGGTGAGCCACGTGGATGGGAACAAAAATATTGACTTGACAGTAACATTTCCTAACACAAACACACAGTGAAGTTTCGAAAATGTGAGGGTGTTAAAGAGAGGTCAAAACATTTGAGAGAGATAAAGCTCCAACCTTACCAACACTTGCAGTGGGAGTCATGCACAACACTGAGCCTGCAGATCATGCAGTGAAGCGTTGAAAGGATAAACAAAAAAAGGAACATTGGTTAGAAACAGTTAGTGTTCACACACATTCTGTATGAAACAGATTATAGCCAGTAGAGACACCTTTATTGATTACCTCAGCACATGCAAGGTGAGTGTTTAGTTTCTTTTTGTGAGGAACTAAAACTAGGCAATCATAATAATTCACTGAGAAATGATGGAAAGCGTGAATTGATACAATAGTAAATGCAGAGATAAAATGCATTGCCTCCCAGGCAGCAGATGCAAGAATTGGTTATGTCTCTGTACTTACAAACTGCACCTTAATTCACAGCTACAATATTCATGTTGCCTCATTAAGGACATTTAGGGTTGAAACCAGACTTGGCTGGGCTGCAAAACGGACGGAATTGAACATCAGGTAGGTGTACCAGGGGTAATTGCTGCGTTACCTTCTGATATGCATCCCAGGCCAAGTCTAATCTCAGACCACCCCTACCCTTTAGTCCCAGTGTATTAAAATCAGCACAAATTTTGCTTGGATGGCAAGCTTTGCATAAGATGTTCAAAGCATAGCTGCATTTTTTTTTCTTTTTCTGATCGTGCACATTTACTGCAAGTTACACAGCACCATCTGAACATTCAAGTTGAAGAATGTAATTTTAAAGGAGCTGCCTCATCATTTCTAAAAGTAGATCCCCTTCCTTTCTCTGTTCCCCCAGCCTAGGATGCTCCCAAGTTCAAAAATGTTCACTTCCAATATGGTGAACAATAAAAACAGGAAACGAGAGCAGCTCCTTTAAATGTGAAAACCATTCTGATATGAAGAAAATGAATGATTGCCCATTCCTTGAGTGACTTCAGCAGTGAAGCCTTGTGACTTCTAATACCAAAATGAAAAGAGTGGATGAAGAGCACAAGTGACAATGGACTAACCTGTTGGGATGAATGTTGGCTGTTGCAGCTGCATATTAGCTAGAGCCTGTTGGTAGTGGAAAACACTGGGGTTAAACACTGTGGTGGCACCATTGGTTTTTTCAAGTGCTGGCCTCTTTGGTAAAGGTTGGAGGGCACCAGGCTGGAGAGCCTATGGATGAGGGATTGATTAAGACATGTAGAAAATAAATGACGCATGCACCAAACAATATACACACGCATATATATATATATACACACACACACACACACACACATCCCCACACACCAAAGATTGGCCTGCCATTCTCCTGCAACTAGTAATAGCTAAAGCAAGGCTGCAGTTGAAGCAGAACAAAGCCACAAGACATTGTGAACAGTACATAAATGCGAAAAGCGGGAGAGGCAGTACAAAGCCTTTGAAGAGTCAATAGTGTGAACTGCATCACCACTTTGCTCGACTTTGAACATAGGAGATTTACTGTCAAGCTTAAAGTGAGATACTTCATACAGGCTGCACATTGACAGTGATGAAATGAAAGAAATAAAACAATGCATTTGCGGCTTAACTACTGAATGTTCTGAAAATCTGTAACATACACACACAATATAATAAATAGAGAATACATAGCCAGGTTTCTCGCTAGGGTTTTAGAAAGTTGCAGGGACTTGAAAAGTCTCAAGGTTCCTTTCACAAAACGATTTTTAAATAAACTCTTCATTTCATATATATTGTCCTGCATTAAACGTATAAGAACTATATTTTTGTTCCAATTTAATGCAGAAGCTTGTTTGTAGATCGTAAGTTTATTTCCGTTATATCATCCCCCACCCCAAGCATCATACAAACATCACTTTATGAGTAGTTTACAATAAATATCCTATAATTGTTAACACTTCAGAAAATCAAATGAAATTCAAAGTTTCACATTAGTGGGAACCCTGAAAACAATCATACGCTGAAGGAAGCAACTTAAGCGACAACAGAAATATTTGCTGTAAATTGCAGCACCCAGATAGCGAGAAACTGCAGCTGGTTTGCTTAAATAGCACAAGTGATTATGGCACAATGGAAGCTGAGGTACATAGAGAAAGATGCCTCTGTTTAATTTGCCTAGTTTGTCTGACATAATGGATACCTGGAATTCAGATTGTTAATGTCACTCCTTTTTTCTGCCAGCCACCATTTTGTGCAATATGTACACACAAGTGGCCTGTGGAATTCTATAAGGAACATTTCTCACACCAGTGGGAGTTTGAACATTCCTGCTTTTTGGGCTGTTTGTCATTTCAAAAAGATGCTCAGTAGAATCACTCAGCACAGAAGGAAACCATTCAACCCATTAAACCCGTACAAGCTCTTTGAAAAAGCCATTCAATTAGCCCCATTCCCCTGCACTCTTTCTGAATAACTCTGTAATTAATTTTCCTCTTTCAAGTATTTACCCAATTCCCTTTTTGAAAGTCACAATTGAATCTGCCTCGACCAGCCTATCAGGCAGTATAGTAGTGCTAATATAAAACCTTGCAATTCTTGGATTTGAGATTGCTGTGTCAATATTATTTATTAAGACAGTAACTAGTCTGTTGCATGAATCCACCCTTTAATGCCAAAATCACTTTAAAGCAGTCAAACCTGTTTTACATGCAGCATTAGCCCTCCTCTCCATTCAGAATTATCTTTATTCTCTTTACTCTCTCACATCACCTGGGGATTACTTTGGAAGATTTTTGTTCCATGCTGCACCAACCCAGATCAGACGGAAATATATATAAAAGTACACTCTGGGAACTGTGGAGTGTAATTGTTCCCCATTAATATTCACAAATAAGTTTTACTGAGTTCATAAGGCTTAGAAACAGGTTTCACTGTGGCTGCATCTATTGTTGCCATGCCAAAGCCTTAGGGGGCAGCATAATGCTAACTGGCACCACCAAAATACATTCCAAACAAGTCAAATTGAAATGGCAGTGTCCCAAGGGTTAAATATAGCACCAACTAAATGAAAAGGCAGTCATGCAATCTAACTAACATTACGTTTACAAAATAAAAGAAAGCTACATGCAAAGCAAGAAGGTGAAAGGTGCAAGTACCAGGTCAAAGGTTGCCTCGAGGGATCGCTTCATTGATCTGACAGCTGGTTGAGTCTTAATTAGCAGGCAGCGAGCACATGGATGGCAATGGGCCAATGGGGTTCAAGCGCATTAACATAAACAGCAAGCAGAGGTGCATCATAGGGGCAGCAACGCAATATAGGGAGGTGAAGAGGAAGGGAGAAAAAACAAATCTGAATGCATTATACAACATATTAAAAAAGAACAAGCATGCATTACAAAAGGCGTTCACTACTGTTATTGTTCAGCTACATAATTACAAACAGACACCCTTACTGTCTGTGAGTGTCACATGAATGTTTGTAATCGCTTAAGGAAAAACAAATTAATTTGATAGAAAAATGCCAAAATGCAATACAGACAACTTAAAAACAGTGGGTGCAAAGGAGGTTTATGACTGAAAAACTTCACCATCAAAGCAGAATAACAACCAGATCCTAATAAGGTCTAATCTGAGCAACTGGGACAGGCGTCCCTTGTCATTTCAACTGCTTTCACCACATTATCCCACAGCAAGTAATTTATCCAGATCTGTAAACGTATGATGCAACTGCAACAACATTCCACTCAGTTCATCGGAAACCAAAATTTTACCCTTCTCCTCACAGAACATCATTGATAGGTGAAAATTGCAATGTATTCAGTCACTATCTTTAATAATTTACCAACAAGAGATGTTAGGATAACATCTACAATTCCCTGACTTTCCTTTTTTAGCTTTGTTACACAGTAGAATGATATGTAATTTCCCATTCTAAAGGTAAGGGAGAGTTTGGGGAATATGAATTTGGGGCCTCCATGGGATCAGTGCCCATATTTCAACAAAAGGGGGCATGACGCTTTGCACGTTAACAGCACTTCAATTGGCTGAGGGTGGAGGGTAGTTCTCCCATTCCAATGCCCGATTAGGCAACTGAAGAGGTGGCAGAATCACACATGAACATCTGGTTCGTCTTCCTCTAATTCGAACAGAGTATACTGTTGCAGAAGTAGCTTGAGTGCACCTGATGAGAGGCTCAATGGCCACCAAAAACCTCTTTGCCATGGCTATCAATGAGACAATGCTGCAGCGAGTTCTCCATCCCTGCTGAATTGGATAGAATAATAGTTCCAAAAAAAGGTCCAGGTGTCTAGCCAAAATAGGTTCATGTCCTTTTGAAGCTGGGTTTCTGATGTGAGAGGGCAATTGGGTTTTCCAGGTTGTAGTGATTGGAACCAGGTGGATCTATTGTCTACAAGATCCTTGATTGGGGTTGTTAAACTGGCCCAATCAGGAAGCCCTAGCTGACCAATAAAAACAAGGGATTTAGAATCTCCTCAGTTCAGGAGACTGATTCCGAGCTGGCTGGCCACAGTGCGCAAGTAAATAAAGAGTGACTTGGAGATGGGATACCGCCCCCTGTGCAGTTATTTCACAGATCCCAGAAATTTTGAGGCTACGTTCTCTGTAACGGAGCAGTGGTACAAAGTAAAGCATTATTTCACATTTTAATGGCTACTATTGATACTGACTCACTCCTCACATGTGCTGTTTCTTCATTGGCCAACACAGCCAGTTGCAAATTATAGACCATGTAACCAGGATTCTGTACTGAAAAATATCTGTCCTTTTACAAACATTTTAAACACAATCACTGCACTGAGAGCACAAGGATAGTGAAGGTGATCAGTCATTTTGATTAGCCAGATAGTTGGCAAATTACTTACAGAATTTTTAAATATTGGCATCACTGAGACTAAACAGGAGGAACGCTGGCCTCTCTGTCTAGTTTACCTACCATGGCAGCGGCTGCAGTCTGATTCACCTGGTGCTGAGCGGCCTTTATTTTGGCTTGCAGATGTGCGGGCGGGTGGAAGTATTTGCACTTTTCCCGTGAGCAGCGGCCCTTGATATAATCCATGCAAACTGTGACCGTATTTTCATTTGAATCAATCATTGCCATTTCAAGTGGGTGTGCGTAGCGGCAATCGTTTTCACCCCGAGTGCAATTTCCACGCTGAAACTCCCTGCAAACCTAATGGAAGTAATTGTTAGCAGTTGGCTTCTTGGGTCCACCAGCTTTCCTTCATTTTCAAAATAGAAGGTGCAATGAAAAGGGAACACTGCATAACAACTAACGTTGCTTTGTCACACAGCTGCTATTGTAATCCATTTCTTCCAGGGTGTATAGAAGAGGTGAAGAAGTCAGCTCATCGCGTCTTATTCCATTAATGGATATCTTGTGACACAGGTCCTGGTAAGTCAAGTATTATGCTCTTTTGTAGTTACAATAAAAATCAATGCAACATTAAGAATAAAATGACTTGCATTGTTATAGTGCCTTTCGTGACCTCTGAGCACCCAAACTGCTTCAGAACCAATGAGTTACTTCTGATTACTTTTCTAACGTAGGTAATGCAGGAGCTAATTTGCATTCAGAAAGTTCTTGCAAACAACAACGCAATAAGGACCAGATGTACTATTATAGACATAGTGGGCGAGGGTCAAGTATTCGCCTGGGCTCTTCAAAATAGCATCACGATCTAATACATTAGTTTAACGTCTTATCTGAAAGACAGGAAGGACATTTCTCTTGGCACTATACCAGTACATCAGGTTGGATTTTGTGCTCCAATCTTTGCTAGGTGGCTTCACATGCTCTGCTGCAAATATTTACATCCTTTTAGGCTATAAAGCTAAATTGTTGTAAATAGGGGAGATGGTGATAAAATGGTACTGTCACTGGATTTAGAGGCTCAAGCCAATATTGTGGGAATCCACGGCTGCTGGTGGAATTTAAATTCAATTATGAAACCTGAAATATAAAATGAGTGACAGAGACAACAAGGTGCAGAGCTGGATGAACACAGCAGGCCAAGCAGCATCATAGGAGCAGAA